AAAATCATGAAAAAAAGTCATAGTATAGCATGTCGTCCAAAATCGAATGAAAAAAGTCATAGTATAGCATGTCGATCAAAATCATGAAAAAAGTCACAGTATAGTATGTCGTCCAAAATCATGAAAAAAAGTCATAGTATAGCATGTCGTCCAAAATCATGAAAATAGTCATAGTACAGTCTGTCGATCAAAAATCATGAAATAAAGTCATAGTATAGCATGTCGATCAAAATCATGAAAAAAGTCATAGTACAGTCTGTCGATCAAAAATCATGAAAAAAAGTCATAGTATAGCATGTCGTCCAAAATCGAATGAAAAAAGTCATAGTATAGCATGTCGATCAAAATCATGAAAAAAGTCACAGTATAGTATGTCGTCCAAAATCATGAAAAAAAGTCATAGTATAGCATGTCGTCCAAAATCATGAAAATAGTCATAGTACAGTCTGTCGATCAAAAATCATGAAATAAAGTCATAGTATAGCATGTCGATCAAAATCATGAAAAAAGTCATAGTACAGTCTGTCGATCAAAAATCATGAAAAAAAGTCATAGTATAGCATGTCGTCCAAAATCGAATGAAAAAAGTCATAGTATAGCATGTCGATCAAAATCATGAAAAAAGTCACAGTATAGTATGTCGTCCAAAATCATGAAAAAAAGTCATAGTATAGCATGTCGTCCAAAATCATGAAAATAGTCATAGTATAGTATGTTGTCTGAAATGTTATCAAAAAAGTTATCATGTTAATTTATGTTTTCTCACTTATTCTCTTTTCCAGTGACCCTGAAATTGTTCACCTTTGGCCATCATGAAGGATCTCCAATTCATTACATATACCTCGAGGAAACAACGAGAGGAGACTTTTTGTTCTTCTTTAGATTCTGTGACATATAATGCTGCATTTCCATATGAGCCAGTATTCAGACAGGTTATTCTCACAGCTCTTACTTAATTGGTGAATATAACTCTGTATAATAATAACATGTTGTGGCATCACACAAAGTTGCAGTTTGTCGATACACACACATTCTTATGCAGCTGTGAGGTGTATGATTGTGCAGATAACAATAATGCAAGTAAATGTAAGCAGCAGCTAAGTTGAGATGGTCATTTGTTTTTGTCTGTTATTTCAGTGGTTAAATTTAAGTTGTACTTTAGTTTACTCACCTACTGTCAACTCTTTTCAATAAACCATTGAAATTATTGCTAAACCTTGGTTTCTTGTATACTAGAGAGATGGGAAGAGTGGTCGCAGTATGAATATGAATATAAATATAACGTGAATATAATAGTCATAGTATAGCATGACAAAAAAAGCGATAAAATAGTCATAGTATAGCATGATGAAAAAAAGTGATAAAAAAGTCATAGTATATGTCTAAAAAAGTGATAAAATAGTCATAGTATAGCATATGTAAAAAAGTGATAAAAAAGTCAGTATATGTCGAAAAAAGTGATAAAATAGTCATAGTATCATATGTCGAAAAAAGTGATAAAAACATAGCATAGTATGTCGAAATAACTGATAAAAACGTCATAGTATAGCATGTCGAAAAAAGTGATTTAAAGTGAAAGTATAGTATGTCCAAAACAAGTGATAAAAAAGTCATAGTATAACACGTCGAAAAAAAATGATAAAACATCATGGTATAGCATGTCGAAAAAAGTGATTAAAAGTGAAAGTATAGTATGTCCAAAAAAAAGTGCTAAAAAAAAAAGTCATAGTATAACACATCGAAAAAAATGATAAAAACGTCGTAGTATAGCATGTCGAAGAAAGTGATAAAATAGTCATAGTATACTGTAGCATGTCGAAGAAAGTGATAAAATAGTCAAAGTATACAGTAGTATGTCGAAAAGTGATATCATAATATAGTATGTCGAAAAAATTTATTAAAAACGTCATAGTATAGTATGTCGAAAAAGTGATAAAAACATCGTAGTATAGTGTGTCGAAAAAAGTGACAAAATAGTCATAGTATAGTATGTAGAAAACAGTGATAAAAACATCATAGTATAGTGTGTAGAAAAAAGTGATAACGTCTTGGTATCGTACGTAGAAAAAAGTGATAACGTCACAGTATAGCATGTCGAAAAAAGTGAAAAAATAGTCATAGTATAGCATGTCGAAAAAGTGATAAAACGTGAAAGTATAGTATGTCCAAAAAAAGTGATAAAAAAGTCATAGTATAACACGTCAAAAAAAATGATAAAACGTCATAGTATAGTATGTAGAAAAAAGTGATACAAAGAAAGTCATAGTAGAGCATGACGAAAAGTGATAAAAACGTCATAGTATAGTATGTTGAAAAAATTTATTAAAAACGTCATAGTATGGTATGTCGAAAAAGCGATAAAAACATCATAGTATAGTATGGCGAAAAAAGTGATAAAAACGTCACAGTATAGTATGTTGAAAAAAGCAATAAAAACGTCACAGTACAGTATGTCGAAAAAAGTGATAAAAACTTCACAGTATAGTATGTCGAAAAGTGATAAAAACGTCATAGTATAGTATGTTGAAAAAAAATTATTAAAAACGTCATAGTATAGTATGTCGAAAAAAGTGATAAAAAAGTCAGTATAGTGTGTCGAAAAAAGTGATAGTCATAATATAGCATGTCTGAAAAATTGATAAAAACATCATAGTATACCATGTCTAAAAAAGTGATAAAAACATCATAGTATAGCATGTTGAAAAAAGTGATAACGTTATAGTATAGTACATTGAAAAAATGATTAAAAACATCATAGTATAGCATGTCGAAAAAAGTATTAAAAACGTCATAGTATAGCATGTCGAAAAAAGTGGGGAAAGAAAATGTCATAGTATATGATGTCGAAAAAAGTCGAAAAAAAAAAAAACCTGTCATAGTATAGTATGTCAAAAAGTGATAAAAACGTCATAGTATAGCATGTCGAAAAAAGTGGGGAAGAAAATGTCATAGTATAGGATGTCAAAAAAAGTCGGAAAAAAAAAAAAGTCATAGTAGAGTATGTCGGAAAAAGTGATAAAAACATCATAGTATAGCATGTCGAAAAAAGTCGGAAAAAAACTGTCATAGTATAGTATGTCGAAAAAAGTCGGAAAAAAAACTGTCATAGTATAGTATGTCGAAAAGTGATAAAAACGTCATAGTATAGCATGTCGAAAAAAGTGGGGAAAGAAAATGTCATAGTATAGGATGTCAAAAAACGTCATAGTAGAGTATGTCGGAAAAAGTGATAAAAACGTCATAGTATAGCATGTCGAAAAAAGTCACAAAAAAAAAAAAAAGGTCATAGTCGAGTATGTCGGAAAAAAAGTGATAAAAACGTCATAGTATAGCATGTTGAAAAAGGCGGGAAAAAATATGTCATAGTATAGTATGTTGAAAAAATTATTAAAAACATCATAGTATAGCATGTCGAAAAAGTTGGGAAAAAAAAAACAAAAAAATGTCATAGTATAGTATGTTGAAAAAAGTCGGAAAAAAACCCCCAAAACGTAGTATGTCGAAAAGTGATACAAATGGCATAGTATAGCATGTCGAGAAAGGTAAAAAAAAAAAAAAAAAAAAAAAAAAAACCTGCCATAGTATAGCATGTCGAAAAAAGTGACAAAATAGTCATGGTATAGTATGTTGAAAAAATGATTAAAAACATCGGGGAAAAAAAAAACAAAAAAAACGTCAGAGTCAAGTATGTAGGAAAAAAGTGATAAAACAAGAAGTGTATAGCATGTTGAAAAAAGTCGGAAAAAAAAAACAAAAACGTCATAGTATAGTATGTCGAAAAAAATATAGTATGTCATTAAAACAATGTCATGGTGTAATATAGCATAATAATGCAGAAAAAAAATAATCATGCACTATGCCATACAAGAATTATATTGTATCATAGTATGATGTAAAATTATAGTAAATAAAAGTCATATTGCAGTACGCCAAAAGTATATTTTAGCGTCATATGTCATATAAAGTTTAGTGTGCCATAAAAATTTATGACACGCCAAGCGTAACATTACATAAAAAGTCAAAGTATAATATGCCACGTAAACATCATTAAAAATAGTTCTTGTCATTTATGTCACAAAAAGTCGTTATATTTTGTCATAAACATGTTTTAAAAGAGTCATAGAATAGTTCGTAATAAAAAGTGATGGTAGAGTTTTCCCATAAAGATTTTTAATTTATTTTTTATAACATACTATGACTTGTGACTTGATGGCTCGCTTGACCGGCACCTGCAAATGTGTGCTGAGCTTATTTTATGATGAGGTTTTTAATGAGATCTAAAGAATCCACAGAGGTCTCTTCCTCTCAGAAACAAACAGAGCAGCTGATTTACACCGGTAAAAACACTCAATAAAGACGTTTCATGTTTTTCTAACGTGGCTTGTTGCAGAGGAGTTGCTGACTGTGGCCACCAACAGGAAAATACAAATGTCTCTATCTAGAGTCAGGGTTTGGTTTGTCCGTTCTGGGCTCCTGTAAAAACATGGCGGTGTAGATATAAACGACTCGTTCTGAGGGAACAAAACAACCAGTCTGTTACAAACCAAAGACTGAAGATGACACATGATGAAAGTTAAACTTGAAACACATCAGTCGTTCCTGGTCGTATAGGGTTGTCCACAGGAGACGCTATATGACCAGGAACGACTGATGTGTTTCAAGTTTAACTTTCGTCATGTGTCATCTTCAGTCTTTAATGTGGCCGGTCTGTTCTGTATTAAGCAAACAGACCGGCCACACGACACATCTTCACAACATCATTTCCTGTGGTAATTTAATTTTTGTTGACATATCAGAGACAGTTGTGTGAATGTGACAGGAAGTTGGCGAAGAGTCGTATGGCTGATGATATAAATTAGAGGCAGCTGTCCAGATCTCATTTACTGCTGTAATTAACTCTGAGCGGTGTCCACTCAGTGACACGTTATCATCCCGACCTGACGCTCGACTACCAGGTGACAAAATGTTCATGTCCCTGTTTGTAACACAGTCAGATATAGAAGAACAATGGTGCGTGGGACGAGCGTGGGACGAGCAGTTCAGAGATGAGGATACATCCTCCCTCTGGAATAAGTAAGTGTCCCAGTTATACATTTAGCTTGTGTAGTTTATTTATATCTGTTGGCAGATTGTCAGTTACGTTATCTGCAGTGTTTTTCGTGAGGAGTCCCATTAGGAGCTGAATGCATGGAGCACATTATTTCTTTGGCCTGGAGTAAATTATATTATTTATAACTGTCTGCTCATTATTACAATCTGTGTGTTTGCTTAATGCAGAACAGACCGGCCACATTAAAATGGATGTTCAACAGAGTTTAATGTTGTTTACTCCTCTTCTTCATTGTATGGGCGACATTAATGATGTTTACACAACCTCTTTATACTGTTGATGAAGCAGTTATGAATATAAGACAGTTTAAGTGTGTGTTCCTGTGTGTAAAGACGAGCCAGTGTGTGGCAGCCTCCGACAGGGGAGAGCGGGGTGAGGTGAGCCGGTTTTCATTCAGCAGTTTAGAGCTGATGTCATGTTAGACTGGATCACTCAGCTCCTGAACAACAAACACTGAACTGACCAGGAGAAGTTTCAGCTGGTTGTAATCTGTAATCCTCGCTGATAGAATCTGACTTGCTGCTCCTTTAAATGTGCTAGCCAATTTCCCTCAATCACATATTTAATAAAAAGTGATTTTTCTAAAGATACGTGGTCACATGACGTGTATGGTTGCTTAGAAACAAAAGGGGGGTACATTTCCCTTCAGGCTTCAGGAAATGTTTCTATAAAACACCTTTGTTAGAATCCAGTTTGTCTGATTGTTTTAATCACCGTCACTCCTTCATTCTCATCATTAGGTTGTTGCTGCGCTCTGGATCCTCTCACTGCAGCACAGATCTAATGACCCCGCTGGGATCAATAAAGTTACACCCAATCTAAAAGCTTCAAAGCTTCCTCCATCCACAATCGTCCACATGATGAACACTCAGTGTGTGATGAGCAGCAGAGCCCGACAGGTACCAGCCTGTGACTGTCAGTCTGCTCACACACAAACACAATCAGCTGTACGAGTGTGTTTGACCCTCTTTTACCTGAGTTTGACTCAGACAGTGTTTTTACTGAATTTTAATTTTTTTTCTTGTCATATTATTACTGACTCTTTGTGAACAAACGATGATCAATTATTGTTGTTTTAGTTTCAAAAATCCATTTAGGCCTCTGTCAAACTCTAATGAGGAGGAAACTGACATTTAGGAAACTCATGGATCATTATTCCTGCTTCTGACTGACAAGTTCACAGTCACATAATTGTAATTTACATGCCTGTCATTTTAGCAGCAAAGGCAAAATATAATTTGTAAATTTCCCCCACAATAACTAGTTAAAGGAAACTGAGCACTGTGGCACTAATTTTTGAAACTTCTCAGTGATCGACTGTGGTGTTCGTCACACATGATGTGTCCAAGGACCGTCAGAAATTTGAAAATCCAATGATAATTTCTGTTTTTACAGTTTCTGGCTGATAAATGATGTCATTTTGGGGATTTTTAAAGAATACATGCCTTTCAAACCACGTTTTCTTTTAAAAAACGCCAAAGTTTCGTTCCAAAGTTTGGATGGCAAATTGCCAATATTAGGAAAAACCTGCAAAATTTAGCACCAAATTTGGGGAAATAGCAAAAATTTGGATGGCTTTAAAAAAAAAAAAAAAGAAGTAAGAACTCACCAAAATTCAGTGCCATAATTTGGAAAATTTGGAAAGCATGTTTTCATTGCAGTAAATTAAATGCACAATATAACCATTTAAATGTGTATGCCCCTCCCCTAAGCCAAAATAAAAATCACAAGCCCCTTTCCATGCCTCCCCCTTTTTGAGCCACCCCCTTTTTGAGCCACCCCCTGCCCTCACTCCCCTCATAAATAACGAACAGTCCCTGACAGCTCATCCTGTAAAGAGTTGCGGGGGGCTGGAGCCTATTTTAGCTGACATCTAGAATTTCTACACTTAAAAGTGCACCCAAAAATGAAAATTCAGCCATTATCTACTCACCCATATGCCGCTCACATGTGCGCGCTTGCACGAGACCGTGAGACATGGGCACCGCCTTCATGTGTGTTCACGTGCTTTCGCTGGTCTCGCGCACATGTGAGCGCGGTGCCCAGAGAGGCAGTCAGAGCTACAGGCTACAATGAGGCTAAAAACAGAGTTCAAATGAGGTTTTTCCAAACAACTTTTTATGTCGGGGCTTCAGGACACTTGGATCACTACGGACGAGCAGTATGGAGATATTTTGTGGTTTCAATGATGTGTTTTTGGACGTTTGAATCTGGGGCGCCGTCAGCCTCCATTAGGTGGAGTTGTGTTGCTACCTCCTCTCCCCTTGGATCTCTGCAAGTGATGTGAGGACTCTAAAACTTCACCTGAGCCTCCCTCGGCATATGGGTGAGTAGATAATGGCTGAATGTTCATTTTTGGGTGCACTATCCCTTTAAACAAGTTGTTGTAAAATGAACTTTTAACACATGACAATGTGTCGTTTCTCTTCATGTTGTAGTGCCTGTGACTGACTTTGTATCAGACCCATCTGAACCATACAGACACTGTAAATCCCACCCGTCTGCTGCTCCCCGCAGAATAAAACAAACGCCCCCAGTAATCTGCAGCACTGCGACCCAGTTCTGATCGAGGCCGTCTCTATTACTGCCGCTCTGATTATGAAAGGTTGAACATCACATGTTCAGTCTTCATCTCGTCTCACCTGAGTAGGTATCTGTGCTCTCAGAATGTTCTGCTCTGTTTCCATGGAGACGCCTGGGGCGGTGGTTGCCAAGTGCGGGCTCTGGTTGTCCGTCGCTGGGCTGGGCATCCCGGGCTGGCCGGCGCCCGTTTTCACGTCCGATCCGTTCCCGAAGGCCAGGATGGCGTTTTCTGGAACACAAGAGCAGCAGAGACGTCGTGTTTAAAGGGATGTGAAGTTCTCCAGGTCATTTTCCCATCAGCCACCACCTCCAGTTTCCCTCTGCTTTCTTTGCATGCTGCACAGCTCTTTGTAACGTGATTGGTCACTTTATAATTATGCACCGGGGGACTGTAATTACAGTGTGGTCATGGCATGTGAGTACAGCTCAACCTCTCAGGGTGACTCATCAGGCGACTGAATCAAATGAATCGATGTCAAACTGCTTTTAACAGGATTTTAAAGTCAACTGGAGGTTTCTGTGACAGTCTCCATCCATGTCAGTGAAAACATGGAAGCTTCACACACAGAAGATCTATACAATCAGCACAGTTTCAAGATTAGAGTCACCAATTCAGTATCTGACCAAATGTCTCCCCTTCTGTTCCTGAGATATGACGTTAAAACATGATGATGTCACAGTCAAGCTGACCTTTGACCTTTTGACCTTCATCATTTTATCCTGTTAGACATCTATGGCAACAAAGTTCACAAGCTAATGCATCGTACAGTCTGCAGACATCAAACATGTCGTACCCAAGTTTATATGATCCACGTGACACAGTGTCGCTGCACTAAACTTACAGGACTGATAAGATCTTAGTCTGTGGGAGGGTCAACACGAGAAAACTATGAGTCTGCAGTCTTGAACAAACCTGTCCTCCATGACAGAATGTGACAGAGTGTTGTGTTTCCTGTATTTAAAATGCAAATGAACAGCAGAGTGTCTCAGTCGCAGGCAGACTGAAGCTTTGCTTTAATTACAGGAGCCTCAGAGGCTCAAACGCTGCTGCAGGTCACAACAATGCAGGTTCAATTAACAACACGTTTTAATGTCAGCAGTGGGTCTGTGGTCGTTCTGTAACACACTGAACACCAGCAGGGAGTGAACTGGTGTTGGATCCATTCCCGTCAGCGTGCTCACTGACCGGTTTACCTGAACAGCTGCAGGGTAACAGGAAGAGACGGAGCTCAACCCTGAGACACTTTGACTCTCTCCTGACATTCCTGCTGGTTTTCAACACCGAGGCTGCATCGAAATTCTGCCTCACACCCAATAATGGACAGAGGGAGTTATATGTTGATATGTCAGTGTGTTGCAGGAGAGGAATGCAGGCTGTGAATTATACTCACTATCAGCCTATCAGCATTACGATCCAGGTGAGATTCTCCAGACGTGACCAACACCGCTTTTCCACCAAAATCAGCCTGTGTATGAAGTTTTTAAAAACAGGAAAACCTGATAAAAATAGGTGATGGACTCCTCTGCTACTGTCAGTAGATCACAGCTGTGTTCACGGCTCTGCAGCAGACGAATATATATCTTTCTGTGTGTGTTCTTTTTTTTTTTGATGTATGACATCTGACGTCACAGACAGGCCTCAAAACTGGTTAGTCAACAGCAGACAGCAGCATGGAGGCCTGTGGAAACTTTACAGTGGTTACCTCCTTTAATATACGTCTTAGTGATTCGGTCTCTCTTTTAAACTCGGTGCAGACTGATGTGGATCGATGTTTGAGCTGCTTGGACGGAGACAGAGTATTTTGTGGTGGTGCGTTGTTGCATCTCGCCTGTAAAAGGGCTAAAATTGTGCGTTCACTCAGGTGTTGTGTTTCCGCTGATGCCGATCGGACCTGTGACTACTGCAGAGTCATTTGACCCGGGTGTGAATGCTGATCGTAACCTTTCCTCTATTACATTAAAAAACAGCTACCAAGTTAGCTGTTAGCCGTTAGCTGCCTCCCCCAGTTAGCTAGCTAGCACAGAAGTTAAGTGCAAAATGCTCCAAAAAAGACTGAAGCAACCATGTGTGTGCATTTAACGTGACAATTTGCATCCCGTTAGAAACAAATGAAACTTTGTAGCCCAGCGGCCGTCAATGATTTTCAGGCTGAAGAGACGCAACTGAAAGAGAGATGAAGCAGAGACCGCCTGCTACATATGTTGTATAAAACTGAGCTGCATGTTAAAGTGTCAGTGTGGGTTTCCTCCAGGTGCTCCGACATGTGCTTCAGGTGGCTCAACAAATAAAATCCCACTAGTTACTGTCAGTGAATCTGCATCCCACAGTAACAATCCACCGTCCTTCATCCAGCCTCATTAATCAGTATCGTCAGCTAACAGGACACTGAACGTAACGACGGATCCACTGAAGGTCCTTCGTACTTTGTTTAAGCTCCTGGACTGTGTGAATTATAATCCAGATAAAAGTTACACACACAATGTTTGATTTCATGCAGGATGATTGATTTTAAAGTGAGGTCAAAATCATTCTGTAGGATTGTCATATATTCAGAGCTTTCATTCACTCAGTGGAAACCAAGGACGTCCACCCTCAGACCCTCTCAGGATTCACTCTTTAGTAAAATATGAGCGCCACAGAGGGTCACGGGCAGCGGCGCCCCGACACACACACACACACACACACACACACATGAGTGGAAATGAATAATATCATTTTAAAATGTTAATAATTCATCTGAAAATGTGTGAAACTGTGTGAGTGCTGCGGAGGGGAGAGTTTGACTAAACAAACTTTTTCATTACGGACACACCTGCTCTGACCTGGACTGTAAAGTTATGGGAGAGTGGGAGGGAAGCTGTGTGTGGACTGAACAACGGAGAGCTCTGATTGGTCGCTGCTGATGCTGTCATCGCCCTCTGTGGAGAAAAAAAGAGGGCTGACACCGTGAATTATTAAAAGCATTATAAAACTAGAGAAGTGCACTCAGTGGAGAGCAGATCTCGACCACGTGTGTCGGGGGGAAGTGGGCGGGGATCAGAGAGTGCAGGACAGCTGTGTGTCCAGTGTGTGTGCGTGACAGTGGTGAAATGAAGGGACACAGTGTTGATTAAAGCCCCGCCCCCTCCCAAACTAAGAGGAGTTGACAGAGTGGCCGGGATCAGCTCGGGCGGTCGCATCACGACTACTCTGACAAAGTGGCCAAACCGTGAAATTACTAATTCCAGGTCTGGCGAGATGATGATGTCACTGGACCCAAAAAGATTTTTTCTGTCACCAGACTCACATTGCAGAAGACACAGCTGTTAATCAGTGGAGATTTTTATTTGAGCGCTGCAACTTGTTTTAATATCTGGATTTGCTCAGTTTAATCATAACAACTTTACAAAGTCTAGGATAGCTGCACGATTAAATTATTTTGTCCCCATTTAAACAACCAAAATCTATTTCTGAAAACATCTGAGGTGAGAAACAGGAAGTGCTGCTGCAGAGTCTTGTTTCATTTTAGATCAATAGCATCACTTAGTTTCATAGGTGGGGCAATATTTAAAAGAGATGAAATTGCCCCCCCGAAAAATAACACCAATGACAACCCCTCATACCATAATGGTATAGTCCAGTACCCAACACGTTGCCTCTCTCAGTTGCTCCATTGCAGAGTTGCTGGTAGCGTTGTATGTGGTTAACATTCATAAGCATGCTAATGTCGGAGCAAAGGGTGTTAGCAAAGATAGATTTGTCAAACAAGAAAGGTGAAGATCTTTCGAGAGAGCTCCACCAGCAGATCGCAAACACCCGTGCCGAACACACCAAGGCAATGAAAGAAGTTGAAAAAGTTAACGCTGCGCATGCTACGCACATCGCTAGCCTGGAGGACGGGTCTAATGCCTACTCGAACATGGTCGTTGAACTGGAAAACACAGTGAAATCACTCGCCTCCCAAGTAAACTAGCTGGTGGCTAAGACAGAAGACTTGGAATCTAGGCAGCGGACAGACAACTGCAGAATCATCAGCGTGGATCAAGGCTTTGGTGAAACGCCACCAGAGCTTGCTGTTGCTAAGATGCTACAAGATGCGCTAGCCCTCAACTACTCTCTGAAGTTGGACCAGGCTCACAGGAGTCTTCAGCCCAAGCGGAAAGATGGGAACCCACCTAGACCCATTTTGGTTAAGTTTCACTACTTCCAGGAGAAGGTGGACGTCTTGTGGAAAGCTGCAGCAGCGGGAGCCATCTTCCACAACAACAGGCGGATCCACATTTACCCCGACTACACACCCTCGGTGAGGGCGAAGCGGACTGCCTTGAATGAGGTCAGGGGGCTGCTGTGCCGCTGCCCCGAGGTCAAGTATGGCATCTCGTACCTGGCTATACTTCGGATAACTACTCCAGGAGGTGAGCAGAAATTGTTCGGCCAGAGCCTACGTTATGAGCAACTTACAGCCACGAGATTCGGAGACAGAGTGAGTATAATGTGCTCAAAACGGAACAAAATAATCGTCTGTTTCCAGCCAGCATGCTAGCATAATAGCTAACCACTATGTCTAACCTGCTAGCTGCTGGGCAGCCGGACATTATCTATCAGCATTATATGCTGGATGCTTAGGCACAGACCCTCACTTAATGTGTCCCCGTCCCCCCCAATGTTGAAATGGAAGTTACACTCTTGATAAGTTCATAGTTTGGTCCAAACTTTGTGAGCATGGTGCATCACTTTGGACAGATTCATTAGCATAAAGTTGAATCTAGTCTAATTTATGCAAATACAGACCAGCGAACACACCGTAACCCCGCCTCCAAACTCACTGAAACACTCCCACCATGTGACTACTTCTCCTGCTTCTCCACAGGAAATGAACTGAAAGTATTGAGACGTCCTCTGTCACCATCAGGCTTTAACTTAGTTTCTGCTTATTTATTTGTTTATTTCTTTTTAAAAAATAACTTTTATTTTTATTATTGTTGTGCGTGAAGGGAGACTGGAAATTAAGAAATTTTGACTGTATGGTGTGAACCGCTGTGATTTTACTGTGTAAACCACAATACATTTCTAATGAAAATGAACCTTGAGAAGTCAGCAGTCAACATAAATAAAATAAAAAAAATAAAATAAAATATTTTTTTAAGATTGTGATTTATAGCACCCATAAAAGTCCTCCAGCACAGAGTTATAAATGTGCACAAAAACTATTAGGCTGATGGGTCCAGTAGTTTGTGAGCTTAGCTGTG